ATTTCCAAATACGTGGAATACTGTGCCTAGCTCAAAGGGAACAGGAAGCCAAGATCTGTTTCCTGGGGAGATATATTAAGAGGGGTCATTGGAATTCCAAATATGGCAATTAGAGGGGCTAATTTGTGCAAACTTGGACAGAAGAAAAACATGTGGCTTAAATGGCAAGGGGAGGTTTGGCATCTGTCACATTGGTCTAGAATTGAAGGAAAGATTTTAGATAAACAAGATTTTGAAAAATGGACTCTGTTTATTACTTTAAACGGTACAAGCTGTAGCCTAACACATGGTGTACTTGAACGTATTGGGAGATTCACCTTTCCCCACCATGATTCAAAAAGTTCTGATTTTACTTGATGAGTCAGATTCGATCGCCATAAGCGTATGATAGTATGACTTTTTGTTAGGCCTAAGAGCCAGAATTATCTACAAACCCATTTTGAGACATGAAGTCCGAGATTGATTTTGACATAGAGGACTGAGTAAAGATACAAGGTGAGGAGCGGTCTGATGTTGGGTTCATTACACAATTTAGGTCCCCGGCGAGAATTAAACAATGGGTATCAATAAAAGGAAGAGTGCTAAATAGGTTATTTGTAAAATCTGGGTTATTAAAATTTGGAGCATAAATGTTTACTAATAAAATGGGAGTATGAAATACACTACCAGCAAATATAAGAAATCTAGCATTTTTTATACTTTATTATTTTAAAAACTGTAAAATGAACCTTCTTACTAATTAAAATAGCTGCTCTTCTGGCTTTAGAGTTAAAAGCTGAATGAAAGGTCTCCCCAACTGATGAATACTTGAGCTTGAAATGATGTGTATCCTGCAGGAGTGTTTCTTGTAAAAAAAATTACTATATCTGGGTTTAGATCTGAAAATATTTTAGAGCGCTTCATCAGGTTGTTAAGGCCTTTGATGTTCCAAGTAAAAAATATGACTGAGAAAGACCTTGATGAAGCTTGGATAACAGGGGACATGCAATCAGTTGTTAATGGTAGAAGTGAATAGACCCCCCCCCCCCTCCCCCCCCAAAAAAAACAACCAAACAAAAATTCAACAAAAACAAAGGCCGCCCATCCCTCCCTCTCCTTGCTTGCACTCTGTCCTTCCTCAAACGAAGGAACGGTGCAGACTCCTGACAAACTTGTGCTAACAGCTAAATGGCGCAATAGGAAAATACAAAAACACCTCTAAGTGCTGGGTGAGTCCTGCAGAACTGGACAAGTAGTATAAAAAAACACTATTCTCGGGAACCAAGAATGCCTGCGGTGAAAGTACTGTGTTTAAATTAAACCCGTAAGGAACAAACATTTCAAAACCGACCATGAACTTCTTTCTAGTAAAGCCATCAAACTGTCACAAGTGAATGGAGTCATCTTTCTCTTCACCTGTTAACCCACTACACCACACAATCTGCGTAGGAAACATTCAGTCATAAATATCAAAATATAAGAGTGCGCCTTATCAGGCTGAATGAGCGGCAGGATTTATTGAAATCAAACACTAGATGGCAGCAAAGGAAAAGCACTGTTTGTATCATTTTTAACAAAGTGCAACGGGGACTCACAATACTGAATGCCTTTGCACAATGCGTCTTGAGTCAGATACATTTTCTGCAAATAACAAACATTCATGTGTCCATTCATCAGATAACTCTGAAAGAAAACACTAGTGTTGATATATTTCTAGCAAGCAGATTCAAGTTTGTGCAAGCATGACAGCAGGTCATCTATCTCCGCTCAGGCCCAATATGATGCCAAATATCTGCTTCACCAACCATGATTGAAAACTGGCTGAAGTGACAATAATTTTCCCCCATGACAGCAGATTTATGGTCTAATTATGAAATGCTGAAATTCAATATTGGATTCATATTCTCTGCATACGGGATGCCACAAATCACCATTGAATGTTTTCACGAAAGACCCGGCTCATGTAAACCTTTGCAAAGGGATTTGTTTTAGCATTTGAAACCCCAGGGTGTAGTTTCACAAACTCCAACACAATAACTTTAGATCAGGTGGCTGCTGAGTGGTGCTCACTGGCTGTATTTATGTCAGCATTGCTTGATGTTCCCTGTGGTCAGCACTTGTGAGTTTAAACATAAATAATCTGACATCTGAATCCAGCTGCTGCACCATTACCCACCACATTGCCTAGGTCATAAAATATTGCAACCTTAAATGTATGTCTAATACAAATGGAGCTGATGGAGGTGGACGTGTCAAATGCTCCAAACTTAAGTGATGACGCATGTCCAGCAGCTGTGGTCTGCAGTGTGTATATTCTCAAAAATACAGAAGAATCGCAGTGTTTTGGGGAACTCTTGCAGTGAGGCAAAACATTAAGGATTCCAGCTTTGTAAAAGCCGTTATCTCCTCACCACAGGCCTCCTTAAGCTAATGTGTAAATGTCTACCAGAAAGAGCCCCCAGGAGAATAATATGATCGCATCCCTTTAATGAAATGACCAAAGTGAACCGTCAAAGCACAGGCATCTCTTCCTACGCTTGATAGAAGAGTGACACCTTCGTTCAGTCAGAATAAGACTACAGAAATTGTGCTTCAGGTCTATGAGCAACGGCACCCTGGAGTCCACAGTCATTATATTATGTTAATGCAAAGCTGATAAAATGCAAGCCTCTCCTGCTTCTTCAGATAAGCTACTGTTTAATGATTTTATATATATATATATATATATATATATATATATATATATATATATGTATATATGTATATATGTATATATATATATATACATATATGTATATATGCATATATATATGTATATATATATATATATATATATATATATATATATATATATATATATATAATTAATACTGTATTTTATTACGGTGTTATTACACTGAAAATGGGGAACTGCTGTGGCTGTTGCACTGAGCTTGTTTTTGTGCAAGAATGGCAGTGAGTCAACAATTAAAAGGACCAGGGTTTTTTTTTAAGGTACTTTAGACCAAGTTTGTCCTGCAGAAGCACATAAACAGTGCAGCAAAGGACAGAGTGACATTATATGATCTGGCTACACTTTTCTCTGAGTGTCCTTTTATTCTTAGAAAAAATGGACCTATTTTATTAGGCTTTTCCACTCAGGAAATCATCTTGGCAGCTATCCCTGTAAGTAATGCATCACAGTAAATTGCCCCTGTGTTCTCCAGCATAATCCACAACCTTTCTAATGACTTTTAAAAGGACAATACTTTGTCCTCTGTGTTTTTTAGGACGATACATTTTTGGACATGACACTTTTTTTGCTTTGACATCAAGGCACAAAAGTTACTGGACAACTAACTGACAAACTTTTTCATGGCCAACTGAGACATGTGCCCTCATTATTTTGAGATGGAATCAACTGCATGTCCTTTATCCAAGTGTATTTGATAGTTTTCACTGGACGCTTTTATGAGGTCCAAAGAGATGTTGAAGTAAGTTAGGGAACACATCATTAGGCCGAAAAACCAAAATAAAGCAATCAGAGAGACAGCAAAGACTTTAGCAGTGGTCAAATCGACATTCTGATTCACTTTTAAAAAGACTGAAGACCAAAAGGCCTGAAGGCGACTGAGGCCAGTGCATGATCGCAGAATCATTTCCTCGAATAAGAAAAACAGTTCACACTTCTAACCAAGTAAAGAAAAGTCTCAAGTTGGTAGTTGAATCACTGTCAACTTCAATTAAGCCTCCAATTAAGAGACACCTTTGTGGATGGAAACAGAGACACACAGGTGCAAACCACTGTTTACACTCAAGTGCAAGAATTTCAGATCAGGGTGTAATAGAAAACACCTAAATAAGCCTGTACAGTTCTACAAAAGGAAAAAACAAAATCTTTGGACAGATGAAACCAAGACGAACTTGTACCAGAATGATAGGAAAGAAAAGCATTGAAAAGGAGAGAAACAGCTGATGATCATCATCTGTCAAACATGGTGGAGGCAATGCTATGGCATGCGAATGGGCCATTAGTGTTTATAGATGATGTAACGGCTGATAGAAGCAGCAGGACGAATTGTGAATCATACAAGGCGACACTCTGCTCAGATTCAACCGAATGCTACAAAACTGATCAGACAGTACTTCACAGTGATAGTGGATAACGACCCAAACATAGTGCAAAAACAGCCCAGCGTCAAAGACAGTCACCTGATCTCTACCCAGCAGATCAGCTTGTTAGCTATTAAATACAAAACTGAATGAAAAGACTCAAACAAGCAGCAGCTGAAGGCGACTGCAGTAAAAGCCTGACGTCTCAAGGGAACAAATGCAGCATTTGGTAATGTCTGTGGCTTCTAGACTTCAAGCAGTCATTCACTGCAGAGGATTTTTCATTCAAGTATTAAAAACAATCCTCATAGCATTTTAATATCACTGGTTTCCATTCATCCATAATATGAGTTCTGCCTTTATTCCTAAATCTGGGTGATCAAGAGGATATGCCGCTGCACTTTAAAGTCAAGCTAATGCATTATCAGCCACACGGACAGTTACATAGAGCTGGTACATTAAATCATAACAAGGCTACTGAAAACAGTGGCAACTGTTCAGTAACTGCAGTAACAGGTTTTCCAAAATGGCAAAATGGGAGTTTCTCACAACCCAGAAGTTGTGAATACGCATAAAGCTGATTATTTACAAAAAACAAGTATGAAACAAAAAGCGCATTATGTGAGCCTCGTTTCTTGGGAAGGACGAAAAAAAGCATAAAACCCCCCAAAACAAAAAAACAAAAAAACCCGCCCCCGAGATTATCGACACGTGACGACTTTATTAGCGCGCGCGTATCTAGCTTCAAAGGATCAAGTCTGGACACGAAATAAAAACAAATCATAAATAGTTTGCACAATTGTGTGACACAGTGCTCTCATTTAAGATTTAGCACTCCGTGGAGGAGTAAGGGGAGGAGATGGTGGTGGGCGTGGTGGAGAGGTGGGGCGGAGCGGGCCGGCCCAGCTGCATCTAAAATTTCCTGAACACAAGCACACATCCAGCTGTCGGCGAGATGTGAGAGCTGCAGTAGGCGAAGGTCTGAAGGTGTGTCTGTCACTGCTGTCCCTCCTGTCGCCTCGCCCCTCAGCGCGCGAGCGGCTGTGAGAAAAAGAAAGAGAGCACGAGTGAAACAGAGAGAGAGAGAAGTTTCCGCTGTCTTTAGGCGCACGGTCGCCGATCGTTCACGTAACACGATGGCACGGCTGTGTCAGTGTGTATCGCTGTCGCTGTTGGAAGCTCGGCTGCTTTCATGAAAGCTAGGAAAACGGAAAAAACCCCGAAAGTGACACCATGGCAGAATTTGGAGAAAACATGAGCGCCGTCGGTCCACCGGTTGCTGGCTGTAAAGCTGCGTCAGGGGGAACCGGAACGAGCCTGGAGACGCACCGAGGAGAGCCTGTGTCGAACGGCAGCTGCAGCGTGCCAAACGCCGGCAAGAAGGTCCAGAACGATTCCAGCTGCGAGTCTCCGAAGTGGGAGAGCACGGGTCCAGACTCAGCTGCTAAACCAATCCCTCGACGCAGCAGTCTGATCAAGGTAGGCCACCAGTTTCATCAGCAGAAAACGGCTCATCTTCCTTATTGGAGGGGAGGGGGGGGGGATGCAAACTGTTGCAACTCCAGAAAACACCGAAAGCATGTCTCATATAGCGCAACCAGCAGTGCAGAAACGCCACGCTGATACTGTGTTGTTGTTGATTTAAGTGAGAATAAAAGCTCCACCGAGCCGTGCGCAGATGTGGCGACTTATCACCAAAGAATATCTCGCCAACACTACTCGATAGAATCAAGTTGTAATCTGGAAATAAACTGTTACGCTGCATTGTGACACATTCTGTTAACTTCCTGACCGTGTGTGCCAAATAGGCAACAATCAGGCCCCTCATCTCACCTCGTGTGTGCTGCTGGATGAAGGCATGCTGTGCATTAAGATGCACATCAGGCTAGTTCCTGTCACACTGGAGATGATTGTGTGTGTGTGTGTGTGTGTGTGTGTCACATATTTAGAGGACAAGTGTTGCCCTTTGGGCCCACGACTTCAAACCAAAACTTGCTCACAGTTCCAAATTTGCTTTGCCATACAGCTTCAAGCAGTGTTACCTAAAGGCATCCTGTCAGTGCAAGACCAGAGTAGGAGCTAATAGGTGAAACCACCTGCTGCAGCCTTTGATTAAAATGGGAAATTACATTCACTCCATCCTCTGTGGCCCACAGTAGACTACAAGACCCCCCACCCCATGTTCAATTAACCGCTCTGCCCACACTTACCTGAGTGTCTACGCGAGCAAACGTTTATTGAATGAAAGCCTCCAGACTTAATCATACCCCCCAATACACCCACACCCACCCCACTGGAACAGCGTTTCAGATATTGCCAGATCAATAACATCTAATTAATGAGTTATCCCCTGAGTTTGTCCTTTTATGGTTTTAGGCCTCCCTCTAGACCCGTGGGAGGTCTCGTATTGATCTCCAGTTGCTACTTGTCTCTAGAGCTGCTGCCTGTAAGGACTTGATTATTTGCACATGCCATCGTCCGAGTACCATTGGCTGTAACTCAGCAAGACAGGATGCCAGCCTGTTGGCCAATTTCCTCACACAGTTCGTTTTGCAATATTGCTATTAAGTCATGAACAGTTGGTTATGACAAGTCACTTTCACTGCACACACACAGGCAAATGTTTCTCACTTCCTCGCCCACACGCAGGCCGGCTCCTGTCTTTCTTCTGTTACCCTGGACGCTGTGGCCAGCTTGACACAAAGCATTAAAAAAAAAATCTCTTTGCTTCATTGTGGGTCGCAAATGTTGTCCAAATACCTCCTGGCGAGGGCCACACCTGATACACAGCGCCACGTTTGATGTGTGATGTTTAATGGCTCCAGGACATCCCTCTGACCCGCTGCTACAATGGATGGTGATGAAGGACAGCGTGGGAAAGCTCGCTGTACGCATCACATGCCTCCTTTGTGTCAAAGCAAAAAACGATCACGATTCGGTGCTCGCGTTTATAGGTTTCAGAGGGATGCAAAAAAAAAAAAAGCGAGGGGTTATGAGTGCATCTGTCAGCACAACAGCACCACACAACACTTGTTTGCTTGACTATGGCAAAACACAGAATTGCTCACAACAGGAGTCTGGGTGGTATGTAGGTAGATAAACAGGAAGCATGACATTCCAGAGCGGTTTTAACAGGAGTCAGGGATTCGTGTCCTGCGTTTGTATGTTCGCAGTAGCTTCGGCTGCAGTATCAGGAGGTCTCGGCAACTGTAATTCCTCAGTGTGGGCTTTATTCCACCTGCAAATCCATTTTTTTTTCCTGCCATGCTCTTATGTGCATGATCAGGAGTTTATGCCTGCTTTGAGTTCATCTTGATGTAGATAACATCAGGTAGTCTCCGAGTTTCAAACACCGCACACTTGCACAGACCTGCCTTCTAGTAAAATACAGCTTGGCACAGCTGATATCTGCTTTCCTCTTCACTCATTATTCATGCCAACATAACTTTAGAAAACACCCGGAAAGTGTTGCTGCATGTTTGTGAGAGTGTGTGTGTTTAATATGACACAAGGCGTATGTGTGGATACTGCAGTCCTGTACAAACTGTATATATTCAAAGATTTTTCCTTTTTCTTTTTGTATGAACTGCTTTTCCTCTGCATTTATAAATTATGCAGTGTGTTGTAACACTTACACTTGTCTGAGTAAGTAAAGGAGTCATTTGACATTTTGGATTACTCTTCCTTTCTCGCCAAGCATTATATTAGAAGACAGACAGCACTCGTATATCTATTAAGCCTGAATAATGGTCGTCTCGGCCTTGCGTAAACACTGAAAGCAAAAAGCAACAGCTCCCCAGGTTCCAGGTGTAATTTGTAACAGTCAGGTAGGAGGTTGGTGTCGCTTTTGTAGCTTAGCTCTCATAAAGACAACAAATTAGTTCCACCTACCTGATATATTGTGAACCCCCCCCCCCCCCCCCCCCCATGTGTTGCCAAAGCATCGATGACCTCTTGGGTGCATGGAGACAGGACCAGTGGGGGTGTTCTAGCAGCAGATACTTTGGCTTCTGCATGCCGTGGCTTCTGTTTGTACGTCTGGATGTTCGTATATGTGGGTTTGGGGAGATGGGGGGCTGGTTTAACGCCATGGGCACTTTGCAGTAGGCGGTGACTGCTGCCATCAGTGAGCATCATTACCACGAGGACTCTGCTTGATCTGCACCAATGTCTTGATGGGTGGTGTGTATCACGGTAACATCTGGCTTTATTGCCAGAATCCAAGGTTTCCCAGCAGCATATCGCTTTGTAAATGTCACCTGAAAATGGTTTTTAATGTTGTGGCTGGCTGGTGTATAGAGTGTGTGTATACACATTATTTGTATTTTCTACCGTGGTCACGTTCAGTGGTGTGATCCGGGTGTGTGCCTGGAACGTGCGTGTCACTGCATGTTTTTCAAACTGAGGGAGCAGCATTTGCTGGAGGTGAACACAGCTGGGGAGGATAGCTGATGGAGTGAGAGTGAGCCCCCGAGCACAGTTCACATCAACATCTTTAGTCAGCTTTGTACCGCTTCAGCCTGCATAAGCATGACCCTGCACAGCACGAGGAGGGGATCAAGCTTCCTACTGACTGTGACGGAGCTGCAGGACAGTCTCCCTAATAGCTGACAGCTCATAGCTTTAACCGCTCCACACATGCACTCTAAATTCGTTGCAAAAGGACCCCATATAAGTGCAGTGACAGGTGCTGATGAGTTACGTGAGAAACTCACTTGGCTATGCGCTTGCAGGTGTTGCCCGACTTAGTCCTCAGCAGCCTGTTCTTGGTATTAACGGACCCGCTCTTTCTTCAGTAAATGCGTCTCTGACGTTTGTCAGCTGAAATTGTGGTTATCTCTCTGACAAGGTGACCTTTTTCAAGTCAACCTTTTGCTTGTTTCACTTTGTGTGTGTGTGTGTGTGTGCGCGCACATGGGACTTCAAAAGGTTCTAAGCGTAAAAGAGCATCTGCTGCTCTTCTTGCCACAAGGGCAGGTGTTCATAGTCAGAGCGAGCAGCTGAGTTACTGCGAAGGCTCGCCACATTTTCCCATACATGGAGCCTCAGACAGAGCTGACCACACGCTGCTTTGTCTGCTCTATTTATCTCCAGTGTCCTGGGCTCTGTTGTGGCCACACATGTGCACCCGACACCCATCACCCCACCCAACATACAGATACCAAGCATGTGAACACGAGATCAGCGTGCGATTAGCCTGCCTTAATGCATGAAGAATTGGCCTGATTAGTGCAGCAATGTGCAACTGTTTAAATCATCAGTTAAGGCAAGAGCGGTTCAGTCTCTTTTGTTGATTGGAAAAAAAACAAAAAAAACAACCAACGTCTCCATATACATGAAAAATATAAACAATCCTTTCATTAGAAAACCAGCTGTTATTCACCCCATTTTAATGTGGTTCTAAATCACATCCTTGGCCCCCCTGGTTGCACGGTGCTCCAGGGTAAAAGACTCTTGGAGGGGAAAAAAAATCTATGCTATTAAGAGTCCATAATCCACTGTCAAACAGTCCGGAGGCAGGACCCCTTTCCAATTTTCACTCCTCTATTCTTTTCCTCTCACTTAAACAGCCGTCTTTCATTCTATTTCTGTCTCATTTAACAAATCAAAGGCAACTTCCTTTGATGACCTACATCTTCATCCTGCTAGTATGATGTACCAGCTATGTCATCTCGCAAGCTCATACATGACACAATGCACTCCTTTTTTTTTCTTCTTCTTCTGACTAATGAAAACACCGTGCTGCACCGCGTCCTGAACCCTGCGGGAGACCAAGTGCAAATCCTCTGATCGTGTGCACTGACGATATTTAGCAATCAAGCTAGAGAACATCTTTATCTATTTCTCTTTGCACTTATTTTTCAGAAGTTTATCTGCTTCCTCTTTCCTGTGTTAGCTAGAATTTGCTGTAACGTCTCTTGTACTCTGTGTCCTTCCCTAAAAACTGCCTCTAGTGTGCTCTGCCACCCAGTTCCTCCCATTTCTCTCACTCTCCATCTATCTATCCCTGTATTCGTCCATCCATCCATCCCGGATTTCTCCATCTGTTCAGTCAGTGTCGAAATCCTAACAGGGACATCAGTAATCTCGTAGTCTCACGATAATCCGAATCTATCTGCAGTAATCTTTTGTGTAGTTTGAACAATTAAAAACTTGCAGACAAAGCCTCATTTTTGCTTTGGTATTAAATGTCAGTGAATTTGCAGTTTTGGTTCTCGTGACTCTTTTTTTTAAAAAAACTTTTTTTTTAATCAGTTGTTTTTGGTTTCAGGAGGAAACTCCAACACTTTCACTGCTTTTAAAGCCCATATGGTACAATAGATATTCACTTCATGCATCTTGCCCATGTGAGCAACCCTACCCTTTTCCTACTTTTCGTGCAGCGTGGAAGGACAACTGCAAATGACTGTTAACGTGTCAATAGTTGAACAATTAAGAAAGACTGTTAGTCTGCATGGCTGGTATTGCAACATTATGAGAGATCAGTTTCTTCATAGTCATGTTCATGACTTGTTGGTCACATTGTTAAACCTAAAAATAACCATATCAAGTAGAAGGGTTTCACACGTTATTTTTTTTTCCGCTCTGTCTCTCTCTATCGTCACTTTACTCAAGTCTTGGTGGAGCCCACAGGAAACTCTCTGTGACGGGCTGACAGGCTTCCTGTTTTGAAGCGCAGTTGGTGGTTTTAGAGGCTCATCTCTGTGTGTGAGAAAAAAAAGCAGACTGAGACATGCAGTATAGAAGTACAAAGTAAATGGGAAATCTTATACGGGAATGGAGGCAGAACTTGTTTTTTTTGTTTGTTTGTTTGTTTTCCGTGTCCTTGGGTGTTCCAGTCTGATTTAATAGCATGCATGTTCTTTTATTTATTTTTTTTCTTGTAAGAAAAATTGATGTGTTTGCATTTGCATTTTTATTCAGTTGTTTATCCACTTGCGGGGTTAAAATGTGCCCTCCAGTTTTATCTTGCCAAAATAATTTATTTAGCTCCTGACGTCAGTGCTAGGTGGTTTGATGTTTAAGCTCTTTGTCTCTTTCTGTCAGTAATTTATGTCAGAGGATAACAGGGGTGATCAATCACAGCTTTTTGCAAAGCATGGCAAGGATTTAGTTTGTCGCAATCTCGAGTTTTGCTAGTGGTCAAGTGACGTGCAAATGTCAGTAGAGGTAATGATGATGGGTAATATGTGCACTGCAATTGGGTGCAGATCCAACCACAGAGAGACCCTTACTGGTAATGCCACAGACAGGAAGTGATGCACATTGAGGCCATCATAAGTCTCTTGTGCCTGTCAGTGCAGTGCATGACGGCGAAAAGAAATTCGTGAATGATCGGGTGGTCCTCCAAACTGCTGTGCGAAGGTGCATCCATCTCCATTTTTGTTTGCCGTTCCTCATTCTGGGTCACTGGGAACTTTGCCAGTTTTTCCAAATGAATTATTTTAACAAGACAGAATCTTGGTTTGATTTTCAGATTTCCCCCCTGCTGATGCATCTGAGTCTTTCTAACTGAGTTAAATTTAGAGGTGTTGGTGCAACGGTGCACAGGGGTGTGGGATTTTTAACAAGAAAACGAAATCAGAGAGTTTAATTTTTTCTTTTTCATTCTGTAGTTTTCATATTGGAAGGGCATCTCCTCCACACCCCCTCTCGCTCCCTGTATCATCCCTGCAGGCACCAGGGGTATTTTTAGAGCACTCCCTCATTAAAGTGACTAAAAAAAAAAAAAAAAGAGTTATTGTGATTGGAAACACTTTCCTGTCCTAATGAGGCGATTGATTCTGTAAGGATTTGGGATGGTTATGTGCCCTTCTTTCCGTCTGAGGGGAGCGTCTTCGTCCTCTGTTAATTATGCCCACCCCCCTTTATCACGTGTTCATTCATATTCCTCAGATGAAACGCAGCTCCCTCCCCCCCTTCTGCCCTCTCTCTCTTATCTCTTTTTGCCTTTCATGTCCGCTGGGTTTCCTTCATATCAAGTGCCGCCTCTCTCTCCCCTCATAAAAGACACAAGTGCTCTCGAGGTTCATATGAAGTCTTATTTGAATGAAACCAGAGTTGTGCAGATGAGTAGGGATTCATCAGCCGCCGATCAATATTCACATATATTTGCTCTGAATGCGAAAACATTATGCTGCTAAGCAGCAATCTGTTAGACTTGTATTTAAAAAGTTTGTATTTAAAAATAAATTAATAAATAAATTAAGGATTGTTTGCTTGTTAGCTATGGACCAACAGAGTGCTGGATTTGATCTTCCTCTGTGCTGCTTTGATTTGTTCACTGTTTCAAAACAACCCTCGCAAATGTATCACTCTTTCAGACAGGGATATTGCTCTTGTGCACCTCAGCTTCATACCTTAAATTGGTTAATTACTTGGTTAACAGCTAAAAATGGTATGAATTAACGGATTTTGATTTATTTCTTTATTTAGTTTTGGTCTTTTTGCAGAATTCCAGTTTCCACTTTGAAATGTGAATCATGCAAAGCTAACCTTGTAACCATTACTACATGAACAATTTCCAAACCAAGCCATTTTACCCCCTCCCTTTAACACGACCTTTATGATTGGCTGTCCCTTGCAAACAGAAGGTTTGCTGTGCTAACAGCCAAAGCTTTTTGCCATGTTAAGGAGATCAGTTCTAATTGTGGATCATGAGGCATCATCCAAATTAAGAAGCTTTTTTTTTTTACTTATAGGGAATACTTCCACATGTGATGATTGCACCATTTGGAACTGTGGTCATGTTTATCCACCATAGTGCTGCTGATCATGAGGTAGAGCAGTTCATCCACCAGCAGACGGTGGATCGATTCCCTCGGGTACTCCAGTATTTTGACATGCCCACTATGGTGGGCAAGGTACTGAAGCTATCGGCGTATATGTGTTTGAACAAATGTTCTGGTACAGACAAAAGTGCTTGTGTGAATGTGCATATAAACTGGTGAATGAGGCTTGCAGTAGAAAAGATCTATATAACTTTCAGTCCATTTATCATTTATAACAATATATGTATAAGACATAAATAAGGCAAAGGATAGTAGGTCCACTTTAAGGGCATAAAATATTGATTAAATAAATTAAGGAACAATCACTGACACAATAATCTCTAATTAAAAATTTATGGGTAATTGCAGTGCTACAATGTTCTATTTCTCATCAATTACATTTTGCCTCCTTGCTTCTGAGAGTCACCAGCAGGTTGAGTTTGTGGGTGTTCTCAGTCAGGCTACTCAGCTGTAATTAAGTTATCCTGCTCCTCTTTGGAGCGTCAATTAAGTCTCTGATTTCATTTAATCAGGACTAGTATATCCATTATTGAATATATTTGCCCACATATATGCTCTTATCTGCAAGCATGAGGCTCTTTGCGGGGGCGACATCTGATTGGTCAATAAATCAGATGGATGAGCTGTGATGGTGTGCTCAGATAAACCGATTGGGTCGGCCTGTGTCATTGTGGAGGGGCAGAATTAGAATGCTGGAGCCTGCTGCTTCCGTCTAGTCAGGTGTGATTAATGGTGAAGGGCAAGAATGAGCAAAGGCTTTTAGCCTGGTATCAGGAAGAACAATAACAAATTGGGAGGAGGTGGCTCTATGAGGTAGACCCAATAATCTCATTTAGGTTTGGTTATATAAACTGATATGTATTTTAATCCTTTGTGATCCATTCAACGCTGAAAAACTGTTGTCATGACTAAGCAAAGAGTACTCTTCAGAGGGATCGCTGTCTGCCTGAGTCATTTTTCTTATTATTATTACACCCCCTTCTTCTCCTCCTCCTCTTTATCTGTCACATCCTTCTTCTCCCCCTCCTTTTCAGGATGGATCACGTGCTGGTCGGGAGAAGAAGAAGACGGTGTCCTTCAGCAGCAGTCTGTCAGAGAAAAAGATCAGCAGTGCTTCTGATTGCATCCACTCGATGGTGGGTCAGCTACCGTGAGAGCCTTTACATAAAATATAAGCTTTACATAGCTGTACATGAAATATATCTAAGGTAGTATCCATGCATCAAGGGTTTCGGGTAGATCAAAGTCTTACTTTCCAACATGGCTGAAGTCGACTGAGCTCTACTCTGAAAGTTAGTGAGTGATTAACCATATCTGGTTTCCAGGTTGAGGGGAGCGAGCTGAAGAAAATCCGACCCAACTCCCGTGTTTATCAGCGATACTATCTCCTTGATGCCGGCCTCCAGGCTCTATGCTGGGAGCCATCCAAGAAGGAGTCAGACAAAGCTCGGATCTCTCTCTCCTCTATACGTGAGGTCGGTGTCCAAGAAAAGGGAAAGACTTTTCTAAATCAGCCCACCATGGATTTGTTTCACGAATGCCTTCTTAAGCCTTTTAAAATTAATTAGCTGTACAAGTTTGTAACCGTTTCCATACGGTGGATAACAGTTCATTTGATTTTATTAAACCTCGCATAATTTCTTCTTCTCTTTTTTTCCTCATCTTCGGGTGTCTCAAACTCCAGGTACGGACAGGTCGTAACACGGAGACCTTCCGCACCAGTGGAGTTTATGACCAGATTTCAGAGGACTGTGCATTCTCCATCATCTATGGAGACATTTATGAAAGCTTGGACCTGGTTGCCAACTCTGCAGAGGTGGCTAACATTTGGGTTATTGGTCTGAGGTAAGACACAGAAAGAAGAAAGAGCAGTTTTACATTGTACACTCATTCTTTAGCTTTTAATCCTTGTGTGTTTTCCACCTCTTAAGCAGCATATGACAGCACAAATATGTGAATAAATAAAAAACCAGCTGTGTGTGAAATTTACATAAAGCATCCTAAGCCTATTGTTTTGTAGTTACTCAGTTTAGTCTGAAGGACTAGTTCAAACATAAATTTAAATGTTTTTCTTCTTATTCTTTGTTCATATTAAAGATGCCTACACTCAATATGCATGTGTAAGTATTCCCTATGAGCCAACATCTTCAGACTATCAACACAGTTTGTTTCCAGCAGTGTTTTCCTGGTGAGGGAGAAGCAAGCTTGTTTCAGACATTGAATGAACTAACAAGGTTTAACAAGATAAAAATGGCTTATTTTGGATTTTAAATCATGCAAAGCTAGTCTATTATAGGTCAAAAGCTATGTGCCCTGTAATTCACACTCATTGTAAGCCAAACGTTTGGTAATAGACAGCTCATCCCTGTAATATTGGCCATCTCTGCAAACAATGTGCATGTTGACGGCCACCATGTTCCATCCATGCTTTAGTCGGGCTGCTTTTATTAATAAAGCCCAACAATCCTCTGGTGGTCTGACTGACGTTACGGTGAACAAGAACTGACGAAGGATTTAATGTGTGATTGAACTGAGATTTTTGTCTTGCAGGGAAGGTTAAGCAGACATAAAGTGTGTTTTTCTTTCATGCCAGTTCACTTTCATATCTTGTCACTTTTCTTTTATCTTGTTCTTTTTTGGTATTGATTGTACTGAGATGAACGGTGGGATTTTGCTCGGTTGCCTTTATTATGTAGTCCTTTTAAGTTTTCTTTTTATAAAAGCTTGTGCCGTCAAACATGGGCGGATTTTAAATTGATTTTACTGCTGCAGTAGTTGTATTTTATATTTCAAGCACTGTGCGAGATGTCTGAAATATAAATTAAAATGGAAATGTTTGTGCTGTAGATTTGATCATTTATACCAAAAATATTGTGTCCTACAATAGCTCAGTCTTTGTCTTTTTTTTAAGTGCTTCTACATTTTTCTGTCTTTAGGTATCTGATGCAGTATGGGAAACATACCCTCGACATGCTTGCTAGCAGTCAGAACAGTCTTCGTCTTGGCTGGCTGGAGCAGTTGTTCTCCTCTGCTGCTAACCAGGACACACGGGGAGACGCGACAGAAGGGATTCATTTGGAATTGGCTATAAAGCTAATACAAGGCGTGAACCCCGGGGTGAACAGTGGCAAAGTGGAGCACAGGTTTAAGGAGCTTCAAAGACTCAGAGAGAGGATGTGCGAGCTTACGATAGATAATGGATCTGGACTTGAAGACTACAGCGAAAACAAAAAGCTAACGGCAAGAAATGAGCGGGTCACCAAGCAGGAGTTCGTTGAGGTCTTCCACGACTTTTGCACACGTCCTGAGATCTATTTTCTCCTAGTGCAGTTCTCCAGTAACAAAGAGTTCCTGGACACCAAAGACCTGATGAGGTTCATTGAGGCTGAGCAGGGCATGGCTCAAGTGGGTAACTTAGCTTAATCACACAGAAAATTCAGGACAAATATAATCCTAGTCTATCTAATGTCTGTTTACTCTTCTTGCCCTCTAGGTGAGTGAGGAAACCAGCCTGAAACTCATCCAGGCTCATGAGCCATCGGAGAAGGGGCGGGAGCAGGGATACCTGTCATTGGACGGCTTCACCAGCTACCTCACTTCGGCGGAGTGCCACCTCTTTGACCAAGAGCATAGCATCATATGCCAGGACATGACTCAGCCTTTGTCTCACTATTATATCAACTCGTCCCACAACACCTACCTCATCGAAGACCAGTTTCGAGGCCCCTCGGATATCTCCGGCTACATTCGTGCCCTCAAAATGGGCTGCCGGTGTGTGGAGTTAGATGTTTGGGATGGTGCAGATGAGGAGCCGCTAGTGTGTACTGGCCACAGCCTCTCCCCGCCGCTGTTGCTGCACTGTGTGTTAGAAGCAATCAGAAGGTTTGCCTTCGCAGCATCGGAGTACCCGTTAATTCTGTGTGTTGAAAACCACTGTTCGCTTCGACAGCAGAAAGTGATGTGGCAGCATCTCATGAGGATTTTAGGGGAGAAGCTGTACACAGATCCTCCAGATGAAGAGGCTTCATACCTTCCATCCCCGCATGCCCTAAGACATCGAATACTATTAAAGGGTAAAAAGCTAGTGCCGAGTTCTGATGGGGAAGATGGCGAGGTAAGTGAGGAGGATGAAGGAGCAGAGATGTGCCAGAAGATAAAGGCAGTTAATAGTGGAGGGGCAGCGCCTGGAGGAAGTGAGAAGGACACTGTGCAGAAAATCGTTGTCACGTCTAGTCCTTCGAGCGTTCCCCCCAAACGTTTCCAACTGTTGAAGGAGCTCTCGGACTTAGTAAATCTTTGCCAGTCTGTCACCTTTATTGACTTTCCAACCTCGTCCAAAAGCCAAAAACCTTGGGAGGTGTGCTCTTTTCACGAGTCTTTAGCAGTGCGTCTTGCTAGCGAGAACCCCGGGGACTTTGTCAACCACAACAAGCACTTCTTGTCACGGGTGTACCCCAACCCTATGCGTATTGACTCGAGCAACATGAACCCCCAGGACCTGTGGAAGTGCGGTTGCCAGATAGTGTCAATGAATTTTCAGACAGCAGGACTGATGATGGACCTAAACACAGCCTGGTTCCGGCAGAATGGGAACTGCGGTTACGTTCTGCGTCCGGCCATCATGCGGCAGGAGGTGTCTTACTTCAGCGCTGACACCAGAGACACGGTGCCTGGTGTGTCTCCGCAGCTGCTCCACGTGAAGGTGTGCAGGAATAGTGTGTAGACTGCAGTTTAAGTTTTCTAAAAATTATCTTATAATGTTTGACATTGCAGTAATAATTATTATTATTAGAACTTTGTCCTTTGAAGTTTTGCCCTCATTCCTTTGGGTAACAATAGAACCCCATAACATGACAGAATGGCATACATTGCATTAAAAAAGCCATCAGTCTAGCAAAGCTTATTTAAACATCTGAACCTTTGGATTAAGTTGGACAGTGCATGCTTCTACGTTTACTTCCAAGCAAAGTCATATAATCTAGCTTAACTAGTTTATTATAAACAAGAAGTTTATAATGACTGAAACAGTTAATGAAATGATCTACCTTTCGCTTGCAGGTCATTAGCGGCCAGAATCTGCCAAAACCCAAAGGTTCTGGGGCTAAAGGGGACGTGGTGGACCCATATGTATATGTGGAGATCCATGGCATCCCAGCCGACTGCACAGAGCGCCGCACTAGGACTGTGAGCCAGAATGGAGACAACCCAATCTTCGATGAGAGCTTTGAGTTCCAGATCAACCTGCCTGAGCTTGCTATGGTTCGCTTTGTGGTGCTGGATGATGACTTTATTGGGGATGAATTCATAGGTCAGTACGCACAAGTTTTATACTTATTTATGAGCCCCACAGCTCCTGTGTAGCAACCATGAAATCAATGCGTATGTGATTTCTCCACCACAACAGGTCAGTATACCATACCTCTGGAGTGCCTCCAGCCTGGTTACCGACATGTACCCCTGCAGTCTCTGACAGGAGAGGAACTCCCACATGCCAAGCTGTTCGTGCACGTGGCCCTTACCAATCGCAGAGGTGGAGGAAAACCTCACAAAAGGGGTCTGTCAGTACGCAAGGCCCGAAAGGGGAGGGACTATACAGCTCTGAGGGACTTGGGAATTCGAGCAGTGGATGAAGTTTTCAAAATGGCTGCTCCTCTGCTGAGAGAAGCCACCGATCTGAGGGGAAACATGCAGGTGAGGAAAACTATTACTGGACACAGCCAGCACAATGTCACCATTTAGTTTGGGATCAGCTTTAGTGTTTTTTGGGCCATTTTCATGGTATTTGGAACTCGAAGTGTAAAACGATATCTGTTCACACTTGCTGAGGAAGAAAACAAGAATAAAGTAAAACGTGTCATTCTACAAAACGAGAACGTGCATATATAGTAAATATACATTACTTGGTGTAATTACGTCTTCCAACAAATTGAGAAGGGGTCGTCTTTCAACATAGAACTGAAAACACAGGAATCAGAATCTTAATAAAATGTCATCCTCTCCCTCCTCATTCCTCACTCCTTCCTCCTCCTAGTCAGGCCTCTAGCACATGAAAACGTACCTAAACATGCTAATTGATTCCCGATATTGTCACGATCAGTTACTGTCAGCAGATTAGACATGCAGCCCTGTCCTCTCTGGATTAGCCAGCTAAACAACAGCTGGTTATACTCTAACATTATGCCAGCTAATGTTAGGCTGTCTCTAATAAACAGTTTGAGTACATATGAGTCAATCATATGAGTGTTTATTCGCTAAGTGTCCAAGTCCATCAATGTTAGAGCCATTGCAGCTTGCAGAGGCAGCAGCTATCAGAGTCTAAGGGTTTGATATCCTCAACAACTCACCTGAATATCGCTGTTATTGTTATTGCAAACTGACAGCCTACACTCACTACGAGTGAACGGTGTCCAGAGTTATTTGTCCTAAAGCAGCCACCATAGCTAGGATTAGGCACATGAATTGAGAGGGGTAAGAAAACAGAAATCAGTTGACATCTAGTGGTAAGATCTTACGCACTGTTGCTGTTGAGAAATGCATCTCCCAGCTGTGGTGGAGGAAACTGACTATACAAAGTAAAGTTGGCTTTTTTTCTGCCGATTTGTAAACTTGTTTATTTTACCTGCAAATTTCTGCATTTTAACCATGGGAATTCCTTAGGACTAAATTGATGTATTTTTCATGAGGAAATTAAATTACAGTTAAAGATTAATAGATATAAGTTGATCCATATTTCACTTCAGTCCCATTTTTATTCTATTTATTTATTTTTCATAGTGCCAAGTAACAACGATAACAGTCGCCTTAAGGCGCTTTATACTGTAAGGTAAAAACCCCAGAGAAAATCCCAACAAACAAGCCGCTATGAGCAAGCACTTGGTGATAGCAGGAAGAAAAAACTCCCTGTTGACAGAAAGAAACCCTTGGAAGAACCAGGCTCAGAGAGAGGCATCTGCCATGATCGGTTGGGGGTGAATGAACGAAGATGGGATAAAAGACACGCTGTGGAAGAGAGTCCGAGAATAATAACTAATAATTAAATGCAAAACGGAGAGTACAAAGCAGTGAGTGAAGAAGACACTGTATATTGATATAAATATATCAACTGACATTGCACTAAAGAAGCTTACATAGGTGATAAACAGAGCTGAAGACTGACGATGCAGAGGGACAAGTGACGAGGTCACCGAAAGAGTTGAATTAATTTTATTATAAGTTGAGTGTTGGATTAATAAACTATCAGCCTCTGTAAACTATTAATAGAGGTTAACCTTAAACCTTGAAACTACGTGGCAGAGTCCCAACATGGTTGAGCTGAAGCAGGTTGGAGACTTGGATGAGGATCTCTGAGTGAACAGGGTGAGGTCGAGATAAATGAAAGACGAGCACTCAGGTTTATATCAGCAGTCCCTGCTGAGGCTGATTAGCTCCCAGAAAGCAGGCAAGGAAATTATTAACCCAAATGCCCGGGAATGTGTTGAACTTGCACAGAAGCTTCATTGTCTTTCATTAATGGTCGAATTAACCTTTATGAACCAAGCGGCAGTTTTGTCTGTGGGTCCTTTTGTTACCCTATGCCAAACAGTAATTACATGTTCTGTGAATGTGTATGAGACTGTTGGCCATCCACATCTCTTGATTGCTTCCATTTCACTCTGAACTACTGCCACAGCACAGCAGCAGGAGCGCAATCAAATACAAATAGCTCTGTTGCAGGATTTGGGGTGTAGGGTGTGCATGTGTGTGACAGAGAATGAAACGAAATCAAGTCGCAGACTTGTGTCGCAGAGTGTAGGAGAGATTTCACTAGTTTTCTTGTCTTTTTTTTTCCACGCAATTCAGTGCCTCTGTTTTTTTTGTTTTTTTTTCGTCCAATTAGGACAGTGAATAGGAGAAGATCGTGTATTCTTATTTAGCTACTGATTAAACATGTCCTTCCTGCTTTTTTTCTTTCTTTCTTTTAAACAGAACTCAGTAGCAGTGTTCAGGGAGCTGTGTGGGGTGTCGGCTGTGGCTAACCTCATGCAGTGCATACTGGCTCTGAGCTCTAGAGTTTCAGAACCAGAGGGGATGCCTTTACTACTGTTTGACCTGCGGGACCAGTACCCCACCCTGGAGCCCCAGGGGTCTTTGCCTGATGTCCTCCGCCGGGTTGTCTCTACTTATGAGATGGTGAGAAAGGAAGAGACCTGACAGTTAATATTCTGTATGTTTTCGCACCAGATAAAGGGCTCTATGTGACTCATAAATCTGAAATTCATCAAAAGGAAGGAAAGACCAAACAAAGGCAACGTATCAGTCATCCCCCAACCGCTTGGCTTCACAATGAAAGCTCCCCTCCCAAACAAAAGCTTCCTTTTTAGCCAATAGTTTCTGAAACCCGACATGAGCTTTTCATTGTTATGTAGCGGGCAACATCCCCATTTGTTCAAGTCTCATAAACACGCTGGCGACATCCTCACCTTGACCTAAATCTACTTTGTGTTTCCATCCAAAACGAACTGCAGAGTTTCATTCACCAAGTGGTTTAACTGACTGAATTTATGTAACGGCGTCTAAAAATAAATCCAGTCACTGAAGAAGAACTTCCCCCGTGGAAACTAACACAATGAGAGGAGGAAAAAAAAACAAAAAACCAAGCAGGGTCAATTGGTCTGCAAGTTAACTCTTCATTCAGTCAATGAGGCAGGGTGAGTTGGTGTGTTCGAGTGGGTTTTCCTGTGTCGTAACTGAAAGGATGAGTCTTTCTTTCCATCCTCGCTTTTATATAACACTTTCAATAATTTTCCCTTTGGTTTTTGCCGCCATCTTTCAATGCCCTCCATATTTCCTCTATCACTGATTAATCTCTTGCAGTTACTGCGTTCTCTTGGTCCCTCTGGTGTCTCTTTGTGAATGTGGCTGTCCAGCATAAGTGGGTTTTGTACATCTGTGGGCTAGCATTCAGTGGACTGCTTTGCCTGTGTTGCAGTGTTAAAGTGTTGCTGTGGTGAAGAACGCTACGCCTCTGTCTTTTTCCTTCCACCATCTGCCTGCCTGCAACATTATTTCTTGAAATTGATATTTGCTCAAAGTGCACTTGTTCCCGTTTCATATTAGATGTATCCCGGGAATCTCTCGGGCAGGATGATGGACAGTCGGTATGAATTGCAAAGTTAGCAGCGCTATCGGGAGAGTATATGAAATGAGGCTGCGCAAGTGTGAATGAGAAAAAGAGACTTGCTGTCATGGAGAAAAATGAAAGGGTTTCTTCTTATTGAGTCATGATTAATGTTTAGCAGAATGATTTGTAACCCCTTAATTTAACTACAGCTTGTCAATGCTATGCATCTAGCCTCTGCACAGACACAGGCTGTCTATTTGTGAATTAGGATGTAAGCGTGTGTGTGTGCGTGTGTGCGTGCGTGCGTGTGCGTGCGATTAGCCACACTTGTTTCCAGCCGAGCAGATCAGAGTTGAAAAAGCTCCCGCTGTTGCTGAATACTATTTGCATAGATTTGAATGTTGTTCACATAAATGGATTCCACACCTCAATTCTGGTGCCTGCCGAGAGCAGTAAACAACAGAGACATCAAAGTTTGAATGAATGAATCTGCGTGTGTGTGTCTCTGTCTGTTTGTATTGCTGAACGAGATCTGGTCACAGTAATGTTGTGTGGTTAATCCCGTATTTGTTGAATAGCATTCCCCCCCCCCGGCACATCGTGAGGGTCAGATCCTGTAAGGGTTTGTGAGAGTTGATCAGGAAGAAGCGACTTGTTTTATCTGTCTTTGTGTTTGTCTTGTGGGGTCATGTTCAAAGAGCTGCCATATTAGTCTGGGGATGACTTTATTTGCATGCACCTGTCAATTTCCAGTCATCCATTAAATGTGGGAACAACACGTTATTATTGTTGTTGTTATTGTTATTACTACATTCTTTAAGTTGAAGTGCACAGTGTGGTATGTACAGACGGTACTGTGCCGAAGTTTTGAGTCAGCCCTCATTTCTTTAAATTTTGCTGGGAAAATGAGAAATATATCTGGCCATGATTATAATGTGCTTGAAAGTCAAAATGTATTATGTCCAACTTTATTCTTTAACACAGTTTGACCTCTCTTAGGTAAGTTTTCCTGTCATTACTTTAAGTAATCTTCAGGAATAGTTCTCCAGGTTTCTTGACACATTCAAAGCTCTTATATGGATGTTGGCTGCCTTCTTGTTTTGTTCTCTGTCAAGATGATCCCACACTGATTCAATAATGTTGAGGTCTGGGGAGGCTAATCCTTGACCGATAGTCTTCCATTATGTGTTTTGTTTGTTTGTTTGTTTGTTTTTTTGTTTTTTAATCCAGGTATGCTTTTGCTGTATTGGCAGTGTGTTTGGGATGATTGGCAACGGTTTCCTTTTTCAGAATGACAATCAGACTCTTTCCAGACTGTATTGCATGGTGGAGCAATACTTTTGTGTTTATAACTCCATCAGTTTTGACAAGATGTCTAACACCACTTATTGAAATGCAGACCCAAACCATGACTGAGCCTCCGCTGTGTTTTGGCATACCTCAGCCTTTTCTCCCTGTTTCCCTTCTGTAAAAATGGCTTCTTAACAGCCATCCTATCAGAGAACAGCAGATGGGCTGGATTATTTTTTTTTTCATATTTCTTTAAGCCAGTTCATTGTTTGCCCTCAATTTCTCAAAGTCTCTTAACAGTTTTTAAGGACACACTGCAGAGCATGCTCAGAGAAAAGTTTTTGGCTAATCACTTTTTGGGAATCATCTTGTTGTTGCAAAGATACAAGGTTCATCCCTTGAGTTAGATGCTTAATGCAATAATTCTTGGTCAGTAGATTAAGTAAATGAATTAACAAACGAGCAAACATTCCTCTGAAAATGGATGAAAAAGCATCTAAAATCCAAGAAAATCTGGAGAACTATTATTCAAGAGGACTTGAAAGTCCTTAAAGATCTTAAAGGACTTAAAGATCTGAGTGGTGGCTCAACACTTTTGCACAGTGCTGTGCACTATATTCCTCTTCAGCAGATTAGACACATTTCTTCAAAGTTAAACTCTGTGATTTCTTCTCCTTCATGCTCTTTAATGTGAATCATGTTGATGCTTCCCTGTCTGCAGATGGTCCAGGCGAGCAGAGCAGTGATGGAGCTCTCAGATGGAATCCACGACAAGATCCTGCATATACAGACAACAGGTGTGTAGGCGTGCGTGCGTTTAAATGAGATTCTCCTATCTAGAGTGCGTGTAATGAGTATAAACCAATCTATCTCCATATTTCTAGCATACTCCCACACAGCCTCTTTAGCAGTGCTATATAGATGGCTGCAGTGGCTGATTACCGTCAGCTCCCTTCCTTTCCTCTCCCACTATATTTTATCTGTCTTATCACCGCTGTTAGACAAGGTTAGATGAGGCTTTATACTGGCTCAGTTTGTGTGTGTATATTTTGGCTGGAGGAGATTTTAAATTGGTGCAACTCCCATCATCCATCACCCATCTGTCTGTTAAGTGAAGGGCATGAAATCTGACCTGCCGATATCATTTCTGTGATCTTTGGCAGAGGTTTGTTTACTTCAGCAGTATCCCTTGGGTCATCTGACTTTAGTTAGCCAGACTGTTGTCATAGAGGCCATAAACAACCCCCTCAAACACATTGCTGCACACAACACATTACGCACATCACGTTCATCACCCTGTTTTAGTGTCTGGCTGTCACCCAGGAAACAGCTTGACTGACATTTAGACATGTTAACCGGTTTGGTGCAAAGGGGGGAAAAAAAAGTGATAAACATTCACAGTATATATGTATGAATCTGAAGGCGGTGAATTTCAGAAGCTGCGCTTACAAATGTCTCACTTTTGTTTTCCCTTCTAAAGAACTCTTAGTACACATTAAATATTAAAGCGTCCATGAGCTTTGTAAGAATGTTGCAGTTTGAAATGATGCAAAAAATTGTTGGCTTTTCCAATGCCACCCTTGAGCAAAATATGAATAGAAAAAAAAAAACCACACAAGGGAGGACTCCAGTTAAACTCCAAGTCAAATGATATTCGGAGAGAAAGATGATGGTTCAGCTGGGGCCACTCCAGTGGAGAGACAAAGTATTTGACTGAGATGAATGTTGTTTACAACTTTGCAGACTCCTCCACTCTGCTCCCAGACAACTCATCACATCCTCCATTGGACTTTATTTTCTTGTTTTCGGGGCCGCTGCTCGACTCTGCGATCAAACTGCATTTGACATATTCATCTGTTTTTTCGCAGTTACGAGTACAGCGATGGCCACTCTGTGCCGAGAGATCCCTAAAGTGTGTGTTTTCTGCACTCATCTGATAAAGAGCTGCTGCAGAGCCTTAGGTCTGATCTTGTGAGCAAAGCTCTTCCTGTGTACAAAGGAAATCTGGTGATCAAGTGATCCCAAAGGCGGAGGTCCACCTCTAAGCCTGGGAAGAGGGAGTTGGCAGCGAGAAGGCATAAACCAGTCACTTGGGGGGGCACGGGATGATTGGTGACAGAGATACTTGGCTGGAAGTTGCATCAGCCGTTACAAAAGCCGTGGGAAGATGAATGGGAGAGATGGATGGCTAGAAGGAATGCTGGGAGGGAGACAAGAACACCAAGGGAGAAGAAAGGAAATCCACTCCAGTTTAAGGGTGTGCTGGGGAGGGGAATTCTCAGCTGTCACTAGTGGTATACATGTATATTAGATGCTTTGTAACTTTTTGTTAAGTGTGAAACTATTATAACACCAGCCTCAAAAGCTGTTGCTTTGCTGCTGTTCCTGCTCACGAGCTACACTAGTTTCACTTCTGTCACACCCTGAAGTGCACAGGCAGCGAGGTGAGAAGTTAAACCTCAAAGAAAAAGCGAAAGCAAGATTCTTGTGGGTGTTAATTTTCACATCTGTCAGAGATGATGCTCCATCACTGATTCAAATGCACTGTCAATTTATGCTGCTGTGAACACCTCACATATAATTCTAGTCTCTCTCGGATGTGTGTAAATGGTAAATGGCCTGTATTTGTATAGCGCTTTACTAGTCCCTAAGGACCCCAAAGCGCTTTACACATTCAGTCATCCACCCATTCACACACACATTCACACACTGGTGATGGCAAGCTACATTGTAGCCACAGCTGCCCTGGGCGCAGTGACAGAGGCGAGGCTGCTGGACACCAGTAGGCAACCGGTGAAGTGTCTTACCCAAGGACACAACCACCGAGACTGTCCAAGCCGGGGCTTGAACCGGCAACCTTCCAATTACGAGACGAACTGCCAACTCTTGAGCCACGATCGCCCCAAATCCAGCAGTAAAATGAATCTGCAAGGCTTGCCTGCTCAAATGAATGGGATTAAAAACTAAATGAAAAATCTAAACAAAGGACAGAAAAAGGTTGACTCTAAGCAGATGCTTGTGTAAAGTCCAGACATGGATCGTTTTTATCTTTTTGTTTTCCATCCCATCTCAGTAATCATCAATCGTCAATAAAACTTCTGCTTGTGAGAAATAACCTTCCTCTCATCTCATCCTGATCCCAGTTTAAGATTTTAAAAGGCACTTTTTTTTCTCTCCTTTCCCTGCATTGATGTTTCTTTGTGTGAAATAATAAGTTCTCAAGACAACAGCATAATCCAGAAGAAAGTTTGATTGGCTCATAGGGAAGCCTGCACACAGTAGTCCTAGCTTTGCGCGTCTTATCACCTGCTCTTCTTGTGTTTCTCCTTTCCGTCTTCAAACTGGACAGGATCATTCGTCCTGGACTTATTCTCTCACTCCTTATTTCTTCTGAGAGGGTGGCGACAGGAGAAACGGGTCAGGAAAAAAAGACTATTGGAGAACAGCAACATTTTTCCTTCTTTGAGGGCCTCTTTAAATTGGTTGTTAGGTAGTAAAATTATCTTAATTGCGGGAGCATAACATTTGGAGGAGTACAGTTTGTTCCTCCAGTATGGAGAGGTCGGTCACAGATGAAAAACGCCATCAAGGGATATAGAGTCATACCCACTTTTTTTTCTAATTTTGGGAGAACTTGTCCGTCATTAACCCCAGATGATCAGCTGCTTTTCCCTCAGGGCGCTGGCCTCTGTGTGACATCTGGAAGTATAGATTTTACACTTCATCAGATGCTCACAGCCCGGTCGTTTCTTGACGAGATCTCTGCTGGAAGTCGGATCATTTCCATCTCAGTTGCTTCACGGTTCAGGCTGAGGACATAAAGTGACGATGACAAATACCTGTCACATGCTGATTGGCTGGCCCTGAAGGCTATTTTATCTCTGGGTCAAGACCCTGTATCTGGGAGTGTTGTTTGCCTGTGTATGCACACACTGAACAATATTGGCTTGAAAAATACCCCCCTCCCCACCCTCGACTTCGCTTGATTTCACAGGGAAATAGACACACAGTCGCACACGCACACTACAGTGGCACGTAGGCTTTGAGTTGCCTAGCAACCACGCAGTAAAGGTTATTATTCAGGCAACTTATGTAGGTGTGTGTGAATGTAGAGCAGTGACAGCGTATGTGTGTGCAGGTGCGTGTCCACGTTTGCAGACGTTTATTGACCGGGAAGAATCATGTGTCAGGGATGGGTGAAATAGACTAGCACCCAATCTGTTCACTCTTCTGCGTGTGTGTGTGGTCCACATTTTGGCATGTCTAACGTCTGGGTTCTTGTTGATAGCTCACACTGATGTGTGCCCCATGTTAACCCACTTCTGGGTTTCCATGGTAACAGTGGGACAGTGGCCCGGAGCGGCCAGAGGAAGCCAGGAACACAACTCATTGCACACAGGCTAACTAGCTGCCGGCCTGACTTCTGTGACGCTGTCTTAATTTCTCTGCGTCTTTCTCTCTCAAGTCTCTCAGACGCCTGGCAGTTTCATTTTGTAATCGGCTATTGTTTATTTGTTTATTTATAAGGAACCCCATTAGCTTCCACAACAGTGGTTGCTAGTCTTCCTGGGGCCCAAGCCATCAAATATCTCCAAATAAAATGTTACAACAATTAGATCTACAGTAAAGTTTTACAATACTGAAATGTAAACATGTGAATATTAAAAATTATATAAAAGCAGAAAACCAAAACAAAACACTCAAACAAAATACACAATTTCCATTACAAGTGATATTACCCTCTACAATTTTTACAAATACATTAAAAACTGCCTAAATAGGCTTTTAGGTGATTTTTAAAATTATGAATTGAAGCCAATTCTCTTATTGCCTCAGGCAACTTATTCCACTGAAACGATGCTCTGAATATAACAGAGTTTTTCAAAAAGTTACTTTTAACACGAGGAATTACTAAATTGTGGTTGGTTGAGAATCGTGTGGCATGATTATGAATTTCATCTGGATACTGCAACTGAGCACAAAAAAAGTGTGGTGTGTTTAACAGTATTGTTTTCTTTAAAAATACAAGTAAGCCATAGTATAATTTAGCTTGTACAGAAAGCCAAGAAAGTTTATCATGCATTTTGTCAATACTTGTATAGTATGAACACCTTAACACTAATCTGTTAAGTTGTGTATGATGTGACTTAATTTCCCCCAAAAGTTTGAAGATTACACAGGTACACATCCTCCACCTGTGTCTTCTAGAATTTGGTTTGTTAAAAAAGTACAAAAAAACGTCATCAACTCCAGGCTTAAGAAGCCTGGAAGAAGACTCCAGGCTTGAGAATAATGAAAAATGGCCATCAGTATTTACTGACTGAACAGAGACAGAGTTGGTCAAATAGACCTCCTTAATGCGATCCAAAGGTGAGCGTAGAATCTTCTGGGGCTTAAGCTTATGCAGATGTAATATTGAAACTCACTGATTGACCCAGAGCACAAAGATCATTGGGCAGATATGAACATTGAATGTGGGGACAGCCGAGCAAAGGTGATGTGAGAAGCTAAATATGCAGTACAAGTTAAAATGTAGCTGCAAGTGTCAGAGGGGGAAAAAAAAAAAACCATCAGAGAAAGGCAGGGTGCACTCAAGCAAGCTTGATGTTTAGACTCATACTTTTACAGTTCTGAATTTGCAGCACACAAAGCAACTGACTGCAGCAGTCACTTTGGAAAGATAAAACCCGGCCAGCAACGTGTGCGAGCTGTGGACCAAAGATTATCTTAACCAAAATTCAGCTACATTCATATAGCACCAAATCACAGCAGCAGTCGCCTCAAGGCGCTTTTATATTGTGAGGTAAAAACCCTCCAGTAATACAGGGAAAACCCCAACAGCCAGACAACCCATTGTGACCAAGCACTTGGTGAAAATAGGAAGAAAAAACTCCCTTTTAACAGGAAGAAACCTCCAGCAGGGCCAGGCTCAGGGAGGGGCAACTATCTGCCATGATCAATATTGTCCCAGCTGGGATAGACTCCAGCCCCTCAATAACCCCCAAATGAATAATAATGAAGGTTTAAAGAAACTGAACGGATGGATGTTTGAAAGGATAGAGCTGGCATCTAATATAAAAGGTCACTACGACATTCAATCGTAGTAATCGTGTAATTCCAGTTTTTTCCTCTTAGTCAGATTGTGAAGCAGGTAAGCTTTAGTACTCGAGACATGCCCAGCACATCCCTAGCATGATTATCTCAGTGTTCCTGGTAGATTTTGCTCCACTCGTTCGCTGTATGACTTAACAAAAAGTGGTGTGATGGGGCATTATTTTATTTTATTTTATTTTTTTTGGGGGGGGGGGGGCAAATGATGTGGGGGAAAAAAGAGCTTGTCTCTGTTTGTAAGCTAAATTATGTATGACATCCTTAGAAAGTCAGAGTAAGGTCAGATGAAATGTTCTCATATTGGACACAGCTCTGTGTGGAAGTAGGAGACCTGAAGGCTACTGCGTCAGTGATAATTATGTTGTTCACTTGGAGGAAAAAAAACAATTTTATTTAACATGATTCATTTTTGTTTTTATTTTCATAATGAGAGTATAGATTGAGGCACGGAAGTAATTTGAAATAAATGCTAACATGCTCACAACAGTGGCACTGTGCAGATGTTTAGCAGGTGTTGTCATGTTAGTATGGCCTGTTAGCCATGTTGATTGCCTTGGAGAAAAGTGCACCATGTTCCTGTAAAGGATGATATACTTCTTTTTTAAATTTTTTTTAAATTAAATTTAAATGTACGAGATTGGACTTAAATGGAAGTCTGATCTGCTGTGGTTCTTTGCTTTTTCGTTCTAGCCATGGAGTTTCACGAAAAACTGCAAAGCCTGGGTACGAAAGAGGGGCTGAAAGGTTCCAAGGTCAGCAGAGCAGTTGAGCGTTTCAGCTGGAACATCACCATCCTTAAGGTCAGTTATACACTCATGCATGCTGAAAAAGCCCAACAGCCAATCGGGGCAGAGTATCAGAACATGTTTCAGCCTCTGGCTGGTTGCTCATACTTTGTTCTTTCAACCTCCCTGCCCTCACCCTTGTTCTTTGTAACCCCTGCCTCCTGATTTTTGTGTTCCCCATCTTTCCTGACACCCAGGGCCAGGCTGACCTGCTGAAACACGCCAAGGCTGAAGTCCTGGAGAACATGAAGCAGATCCGTGATGCTGCTCTGGCTGGAAACCTCACCAAGGAGAGAGCCGGATTAAGACGGGCAAGCTCCCAAACACGCAGAGGCCACAATGAAAAACTTGCAATGAGTACTAGAGGACAGTCGGCATAGCAAGTAGAAAAAAAAAAAAAAAGGGCACCTAGCTGCTGTGAAAAACTCTTTTCACTTCTGTGTGTGTGTGTGTGTGTGTGTGTGTGTGTGTGTGTGTGTGTGTGTGTGTGTGTGTGTGTGTGTGTGTGTGTGTGTGTGTGTGTGTGTGTGTGACACTGTCTTAGTCTCCCAGAGTGGGCAAGCTATCAAAGTGTTTTGTAGGCATTACAGAGAGTAACAGATATTAAGAAAGAGAAACAGGAGAACTGATGAATGCAAGTCTTCAAAACGCAGCCACTGTAAGCTCACCTGTTACTGAACCTTCGAGCCAGAGAAGGCGGTGCACAGCCAAGGGAAGACTAATGAAATGCGAAGCTGCCGAGATGAATGTAGTTACTGAAGCCAAGGTTGAGCGGTTTGTACTGTATTAAACTGTAAATAAGCCAAATGTTTAATGTTCACTTGTTATGTGCAATGTTTTCTGAGGTCAGGGGATGATTGAAACCAGAAGCCAAAACCTTTTTGAAAAAAAATGATGGTGACTTTTACTCCACAGTGATTAAATTCAGATTGGTGTGTAAGACAGCTTGCGTGTGAGTTAAAAGAAACAGTTTGTCAAAGGATGTGTGGATGTTTGAGGTCTTCTGTCGTTACTTGTGGACCAACGCAGTCTCTTTTTGTCTCTCTAGATTTTGATTACCTGTCTTTTGGTCCCCAGTCGCTGCTCTTCACTCAACTTCGATTCAATTAACTTGAGGTCCTTTGTCTTACTAAAAATCCACCACTTTGCCATCTTACTACGGTCTTACATACAGTATTCTATATTTTTGTATTTACATAAAAAAAAAAAAAAAGGCTTGTGCTAATGAACCCGGTGTTACCTACCAAAACGATCAATTCCAGAAGTGTAAATATGTGGTTAGAGGGAACTAATACTGTTATGTTTGTGTTTTAAAACTCTGTACAGTATTTTATTAAGTAATTCTATCCTTTTACTGCAAAGAATATTTTACATAAGTTATTGATCCTGAATGAAAACATTCCAGATACATATTATTGGTGTAGATAAATGAGGCTCGAGCAGTTCTGTAAAAGGTCAGTTCACGATTACCTTCCTCAGCAGCCAGGATGAAAATAAACTAGTTTTTAAATGACTTGTGCGCATGCCTCTGTTTTTCTGCAAGACTTGATGGAGCTTTCAGCTATAGTGACGCATGACACAAGCAAGAGGAGTGCTGCGATGACAGCTGGGGAAGCAGACCTGTGATGCTGCAGCGATGAGCAGTGGAAAAAAAAAAAAACAAACTAATTACAGCTTCCATATAAAGCTTCGGTGCATCACGGTTGAAAGGTCACAATTAATGACTATTTCCAACCATTAAAACATGCACCAATGACCACTTTATTAGGTACACCTTGCAAGCATACTGGCAGCGATTTTGGTTCATTGATATCAGTTTCTGCAGATTTATAAGCTGAACATTCATTATGTGAATCTCCCATTACAATATATCCCAAAGGTGCTCTATTGGATTGAGAGCTGCTGACTGGAGGCCATTTGAGTACATTGAACTCATTGTCATGCTCAAGAAACTAGTTTGATTAGTTTTGTGACATGGCATGTAATCCTTCTGGAAGCATGCCCACACTGTAGTCATAAAGGGATAGCTGTGTCAGCAACAATAGTCAGGTAATAGTCTGGGGTTTAAATGATGCTGAACTGGTACTAAAGGGCTCAAACTGTGCCAAGATCAGCCTCACCATTACATCATCACTAGCCTGAACCATTGATGATAAGAAGGATGAACCAATGCTTTCATGTCACTTATGGCAAATTCTCTCTCTACCATCTTGCAGTAGGAATCATGGCATCAGACCAGGCAACATTTTTCCAATTTTCTACTCTGACTGGAGAACAGAAGTAGCTTCTCTTTCCTTTTCTTAGCTAACAGCATAACAACAGTGGTATGGCCTTCTGCTGGTGTAGCCCATCTCCATAACAGTTCAATGTGTCTTGCATTTAAAAATTGCCGTGGTTGTAATAAATAGTCATTTGAGTTGTTGTTGATTTCGAAGCAGTCTGGCTATTCTCCTCTGACGGCTGGTATCAACAATTTTTTTGCCCAAACTGCTGTTAATTGGATATTTCCCCCTTTTTCAGTGTAGAGATGGTTGTGCAGGAAAAATCCCAGCAGCTCAGCAGTTTTTGGAAACACTCAGATCAGCTCATCTGACACAACTGTTCAAACTCAAATCACCTTTCTTGTCCACTCAGAGGCTTGGTTTGAACTCCAGCAGGTCATTTTGACCAACTTTATGAGCCTAAACACATTGAGTTGTTGCTATGTGACTGGCTGATTACATATTTGCATTAACAAGCAGTTGTAAATGTGAACATAGTAAGTGTTTGTACATATAAATGCACATTTTATTTGCATGAGATCCAAGTTTTTACTGTCCTGGACATAATCATCTCTCAGTTTCACTGAAATACAGCAGCAGCATGGGTAAGCCTATAAGTATGGATGGCTTTGCAGTTAAATACGTTATAAACATCCAAAACATCTGTAGCAGCTCCTCGCAACAATGAATAATATCTGGAGATGAAGACCATTATTTAACCAAAACCCCAGAATTGCTTTTAAATAAACCACAAAGACTGATATCTCTGCAAAATTTGCTCAAAGTACACAGCATACGTAATAATACCATTAGCTGCGAATCCATGGTTCAGTTGTTATGCTCCTACTCCATTTACCCACACTTCCTGTCTGCTTTTTACTGCTGCTATCCAATCAGGACAATGTGTTAACTCAAAGTCTTGAGAGCAAGTAATCCAAAGAAGACACTAGAAGTTCAGCGTTTTAGCAAGAGCAATGTAGTTTTATTGGTCTAGAGTTAATTAGGCTGAATAGGCAGCTATAGAGGAACATTCTTTGTGTGCTGCTTTGTGTAATTTTGCCACAGAACACGAGAACAACTTACCTGTAACGTGAGCAAAGATAACAGACACTGAATTGTCCATATTGGAATCAATTTTAAAACAAAGGTAAAGGAGATTTATTCCATAATTTAATCATATACACCAGGGAAATTAAAGCACTAAAGGGTTAAAAATAAAAACAAAACAGTTTTCTTTAAAAGAGTTTTCTTAAATAAAAAAAAAGAAAAAAAAAAGAAAAAAGAAAAAAAAGATCACAGAGTTAGGTTTTGTTTGGCTGAGAAGAATAACGGTCAGAGGCACTGGTTTATGGGGGGGGAGAAAGCTGCCCTCAACAAGTGACAGGACGACACCATCCTTCTTTCCTTCGAGTATCAGGGCAGAGCGCTTCCTCTTTAGAGGCATACACGCAGACAGAACACAGGCAGAGGTGTGGCCAGAGCTCCACATTCACGAGGAACAACAGCTCCACACTCTCAATCATTACAGTAAGAGAAAAGGAGTCCCCTCCTGAAGGTAAACTGCAGTTTCAGGTCCAACTCTTTAGAATCATCTTGTAGTGACAGGGTAAGCAGTTCAATGGCGCCCTCTCTCTGTAGAGCAGGGAACTACAAATCATCATGAGTGACGGATGAGGTTAGATTGTACCCACTAAAAAGGCCCAGCATAATAAGGAGATGAGACAGCATACAGCATCAGCTCAGACAGGACTGAAGTGGCACAGATTAAAGAGAGAGTATCGGGCATTTGTGACACAAGTGTCACAGTCCAGGTGTTCAATTTCTATGTTGAGAGCAGTTTCAGTTTCACCATTGACCTAAAGTCCCCTCACCAATTCCAGGTCACCTTTCTCTGATCAAACCCCGCTGAATGGATATGAACCAGAACGGGTATAGGTGAAGGAATAGGGCGGTGATTTAACACGTTCACAGGTCGTTCGGGTTAACGATGGTAAAGTCAGAGTCCTTGCTGTGGGTGGAGCCTTCATCTGGGCTGGAGGAACCTGAGGTGGTGCCTGCCATTAGGGGATCTTGGAAAGTTCCAGCCGCACCCTCAGGCTCCATCCGCACCATGCCACGCCCCCGTCTGATTTGAGGAGTGCGCTCGGATGCAGACCTTCCTCCAGTTTCGGCGTGTAGGTCTCCGTCCTGGGAAATAAGGATGTAATCGTCCCAGTTTTTGCCCTCCAACCCCAGAGAAGACGCCACCTGCATGCAAGAATCTTTTTTTAAAACTGCATAAATGCCTAAAGTGTGAGATCACGCTTGCCTTGGCCTAAAGCTGAGTGTTTTGAGATAAACTTGCTGTGCTCGGCGGTATCATTCAGAAATGGTATAATTCTTAGGAGAGCAGATTTAGCATGACACACCATAATCCTGGAAAGATACAAAACCACTCTGAACACAGACTTGCAGACATGAAAGGGATTAGGATTTAAAATGAATGAATCCTGGGATCAAAGGGTCAAACAGCAGAACAGACGACGAAACATAATCCTGTATGGAGTGAACGTTAAACTGTATTTGATGCCAATACAGCTGGCAGAGGTACAGAGCAATAATTTACGCAGACAGGAAAAACGCTGACCTGTTGATCAAATGGTGTCATGGCCTGCTCCTCCTCCTTCTCGTCCATGCTCGCGCTCCCTTCCAGCTCGGAGTCCCTGCTCGGCCTGATGTTTGCCTGCTGTTGCTGGCCACTGTGGAGGCTGCTGGTGCTTAGAACAGTTTCACCTGCTGCTGCTGTGGACGTGTAGTGATCGTCAGCAATGGTGATTTCTTCATTCTCCTCAGCTTCCAGCTGGCTCTGGTTGAAGCGCAGCGCTCCCTTTAGGATGTCTTTAATCTGACAGGGAGAAGGAGGCCACAGAGATGAGTTAGTGAATATGATTATAAAAGGGACATCACAAAAATGAATACACACTTATAGCATCTGCTCACACAGTCACCTGTTTGAGTCCAGCCAGTGAGACCAGGACCTCATCCTCTTTCTCGATGTGTTCTTGGAGAATCACTTCCTGGATTTTACCTAGAGGAACAATGAGTGGTCAAGCACTGATCGGCCACAAAAATCGACTATATTACTATCACTATATTACAATTCGAAAACATAAACAGTATTATTATAGTCAGTAAATTTTTAGCAAAATTAGAAATTTACAAATTTAAGTTAGACAAAAATATAACCTGCAGCAGACGCTGACGCACGAGTGGAATTAGACTGAATGTTTTTTTTTTAAGCCATGTAACCATGTGTGGCTGAACTTACAGATGTGTGTGTTCATCATCTTAGCACAGTATTTGCTCATGGCCTCCAGGTCGTTGATCTGGCCCTGCAGGAAAGAGACTTGGGCTTCCAGGTCTTCTTCCTGTTGATCCCACAAACACAAACAGAGAAAACTGGAAACTGAAGGAAACCCTACAAAGAAGGGATTATGGTTAAAGCTGTGAGAGAAAATTAAAAAGACTTACCATCTCTTTCTTGCCCATAGTCTTGCTGTGGGAGCGCGAGCGAGTGATGTTAAAGAAGGACTCCTTCTTGGTGGCGGAGAGGGGCGGGGATGAAGTGCTGACATCACTCCCTCTGGATGGGGGAAGAGGCGGGGAGGCGGTGGATTGACCACGGCCACCAGAGAGGCTTTCTATGCTTGTAGAGGAGCTGACCGTCCTCGAGCTTTGGCCTAAGAAGCACAGACAGACATTTTTATTAGTAACACTAGGAAGTTGAAAACCTATGGACGTCACCTTATTTGAATTTACGGGAGAACAACCTGCACAGGAAATAAACATGAAAGAAACTATTGTTCCTTTAAACTCTATGAAGAACCCTATTTATGGAGGCCAAATCTCATAAATATCTGTAATTTAGAAAGATATTAAACAGCTAAGTGCAAGACAAGACTGAAACCTGGACTGTGAAGCTGGAATTGCAGATTTTTTCCCCCCGTGCTGAATGAGATGTAGAAATTGTGAATTCATGTATTCATGAATTCACAATCAAAAAAGACATACATTGTGTTTTAAATGATAAATGATTTTTTCCCCAAGTGCATCTAATTAATAAATAAATAAATAAATAGATAAATAAAAGTGTCTAGTAGTGCTAATGAGTCTGTCTGTTATATTTCCTTTCCTAGAGTTTTTAGCTTTCATGTCATCATCTGTTTTTAGATAATGCAAATCTGCAGCAGTGCGCCTCACCACAGAGCAAAGC